TTGCCTAGACAATAGGGGGAAGGAAAATCATCAGCAGTTCACTACACGTTACCTTGCCCGTCGTATATTGGGGCTCGTTGATGACAATAACGACATCTCGGTGTCTTCTTTACAACAGCCCATATCCGAATTTGTTCAGTACGATGTGACGTACGGAAAGGCTTGGCGTGCTAAGCAAATTGCTCTGACCATTAGATGGGATACTTGGGAGGAAGCGTACAACAGGGTGCCCCGCATCTTATGTGCAATGCATTACTACAACTCTGGTTTGAAATGGTTTGTGGACACTGGAGTGATGTTTTTTCGGGACCCATCGAGGCATGTCTTTTATCGTGTGTTCTGGTCGTTCGCGTAAACGGAACATGCATTCCAGTTTTGTCGGCCAGTCGTACTTGTTGATGGCACTTTCCTGACAGGAAAGTACAGGGGCACCTTGATGATGGCTGCTGCTGTTGATCCTGAGGACCAGATAGTACCCATGGCTTTTGCTTTGGCAGAGGGAGAGAACAATGAATCGTGGTCATGGTTCATGCGGCTTCTTCGTGTGCAAGTGCTTGGCCCAACTCGCACTATATGTTTGATCTCCGACCGTCACGCAGGGCTTCTTAATGCTGCAACTGAGCATATAGATGGGTTCCCGCCTCTAGTACATAGATGGTGCATGAGAAACATTGCCGCTAATTTCTAGCGGCATCAACGGAAGCAGGAGGTATGTGACAAGGTAAAGGCTCTATGTTGTGTACGTACAGAGCACCAGTTCAAGGAGACAAAGAGAGAACTAGACAAGATGGTAAATGCAGCGGGAAAGGCCTGGTTAGAGGCGCAGATGGAACAGAAGGCTCAGTGGGCGTTAGCATATGACGAGGGGGGTTTCAGGTATGGCATCATGACCATTAACTCCTCGGAGTCCTTTAACCGTGTATTCTCTAGAGTACGATCGTTGCCTGTGTCTGGAATTGTTGAGTTCTCCTTTCATAAGTGCAACGAATATTTTGTGAAGAGGTGGGGACTTGCACAGAGGAATATAGCTGAGCAGGGGTGTTTTCGAAAGGCCGGAGCTGAACATTTAAAGGAGGCCGAGGAATTGGCCAAGCAGCACACCGCCAAGCCGTATGGACCCCGCCGTCATATCTTTAGTGTACGGGGCAAGGGTGGTACAAGCTTGGATGGCGAACATTATGGTGGACGAAACTACCGAGTTGATCTTGAAAAGGTAGAGTGCAGTTGCAACATTCCTTAGATCATGCATGCCCCTTGCTCTCATATGATCACGGCCTGCAGGGTTCGCGGGTACAAGTATGAGGATCTGCCATATATGTCACCCTTATATCTGTGTTCGAATACCATTAGTATTTGGGAGATGAGCTTCGAGCCATACCTTGACCCGACACAGTGGCCACTTTATAATGGTTAAGACTACGTGCCGCATCCGGATCTAATGAAGGTAGGGTAGGGTAGGAGGAAGAAGAGGTGACTCAAGGGGGACATGGACGCTATGAGAGGGTACGGCGAAGATATGTACGACGGGGGAGACTTCAACGAGACCCGTGGCAGGAATCTTTGCTCCGTTTGTAAACAATCTGGTCACAAGGCTAGCCGGCATAGAGTACGAGGGCAGCAGGTGATTTTATATTGTGTTCGTATTGCATAACAAGTACTTCAAATTTGGAAATGGCTACGTAATGTTAATCTGAATATTGTTAATTTAAATACTCTAACCCTTTGTTTATCAAATTGTAACAGGATGGCCCGTCCCACGCCGCACCGAGTACCAATCCTCAACCACAACTCTGTTGCTATGGCTAGGCTCACCTGCATTGCCCTGATCTGCCTTTCGCCTGTAGTAAGCGGCCTTTGCTTCATCTGCGGCCTCTACGGCCTAAGTGAAGAACGCGTCGTCATCCTCCTCCGCCTGCAAGCCCGCCTCTGCTAGAGCGATGAGCTCGCTCAGTCTGCCAGTGTCGTCATTAGCCTCGTCCGCCTGCAAGCCCGCCTCTGCTAGAGCGATGAGCTCACTCAGTCTACCAGTATCGTCTTTAGGCTCCTCCGCCTGCAAGCTCGCCTCTGCTAGAGCGATGAGCTCGTTGAGTCTACCAGTGTCATCCTCATCCTCGACTTCCTTATCAGACAACACAATCGGTGATTGAACGGTGCGACCCGCTCGCTTTCTTTGCTCATCTAACTTATTTTCCTCGTACCTTGCACGAGCCACCTCTGCAGCATGTTCCTCGCTGCATTCAATCCCTGTATAAAATGCAATCAGTTAGTAACGTGACTGTATTACATTTAAAATCGGACAACAAAAAAAAAGATTCTAAGCACTCACTGGCACATAATGCAGCAACATGCTCGTTCAAGACCTGCATCTGTACTCTTATCTCCTCCCTTGCCTCAATCCTTGCCCTCTCCTCCTCTAACGTCATCCGTCTCTCCAATCCCCATTTGTTAAGCCCAACATCGATCGGGTTACAAATACCGCGCTGTCTAGCAAACTCACGCATCTTTTTTTTGTGATGTTTAACGAATAGGTTGACATAGTCAGGTCCATATCCTCTCTTCCGTGCAATTACTTGCTTCCCCTTCAGTTCATCCAAGAATTTAGCTTGACCATCATAATATTCCCACCTGCATTTTCTAGTGCATTGTTCAAACGAAAAATTATATCATATATGTCTTAGCAAAAGAAACAAATTACGATTTCATGGTAACTACAAAATTAAAACAACCTCATCGTAGTCAATCATATGGCCGCAATAATGACCTATTCCAAGCTTCGAAAGGACTAAACCGTAGTTGGATTTAACACCGCATTCACACTTGACTGGAGGTGCTTTATAAATTAACATTTCTTCTTTTGCTTTGCTTTTGGAGGTTCTTCGGGCCATTTGTTCTTAGGATCATACAACCACTCCTTGAAACGACACTTTGCCATTTGATACACCTGAATAAGGTGACATTAGTACATGACACATATAGCTCAACTTTTAAACAAATACACTCTGCACTTACTTCATGCTTGTTTGGACACACAAACTCCAACGTATTGTTAGGGTTTATCACGGCTCGGTCTCCGCAATGGCACAGAGGAGGTTCCTCGAGTCGTCTGACCACGGCTAAGTGCTTCTCCTTACCCGTCATTGGAGGGGGGTTAGGGGGAGGTGGAACCCACCGCTGGAAGTGCTCTCGTGGATTTCGCCCCTCCACCAATCGTCGAAAAGGAGGTACCTGAGGTCAAACTTGTCTGCACCGTCGATCCACTGAAAGAAAAAGCACCTCTTATGGGCCTACATAACAAAATTCAAACAAAATATTAGTAACCTATTAATACAAATGAAGAAAAAAACATATGGAAACAATTACTTACGTTGAAACGACTGCATGTGTAGAAGCAACAAGCCGCTGTGTCCGGATGTCTCGATTGAAACACGTCGGCCGGACGCCCACAGTCACAGTTAGGGACAGGGAGTTCAGGGGGGCATCTTTACTAGAAGCGTCAGGGTACAATTCTTTAGGACGACCCCGTTTCCGCCATAACTGCTCCCGAAACATGTCTTCCATCTAATACAACGGTTCAAATTAAATATCAATCAAAACTATGAAGATTAATGTAAAATATAATCATCTGCAATGCAACTAAAATAATATAACCGATAATTATAGCAACAAAAAAAATACATGATAAATAAACTTCTAACTAAATAATTAACCTTAACATTGACAAAATCAAACTAATATCTTCCTTCATACATAATCTTTCTCCTAATCTTAACTCCCATTCATAATATCCTATCCACCATGGTGCCACAAACAAAAATAAAATGTGCATCATTACCTTAAACGAGGACGAGGAGGGAGGGAGGCGACCGGGGAATGGAAGGAAGGGGAGGGAGGCGGCAATGGAGGGCCGGGCGGAGGACGGGCTGCTGGCGTTCGTGGCGCGGCGGCCTAGCGCGGGAGGAGGCGAGCGTGGCGGTGGACAGGCGCTGCGCTGCGCTGCTACGGCTGCTCGGGCACGGGAGGAGGAAGGCCACGGCAGGAGCTATATTCGGCTCTGCCGCGCCAAGATCGGTGGCGCGGCAGAGCCCTGCCCCGTCAGCGGTCAGCGCTCCTGGTCGCCGCCACGTCAGCTCTCTTCCGCGCCAGCATGCATGGCGCGGCACATGCATTTGGCCGCGCCAGGGCAATAGGCGCGGCTAAAAGTGTTAGTTTTAAAAAAAAAATCGTTAGTGTTAGATTTAAAATTTTATTAAAAAAGGGTTAAAATTAAAAAAAATCCCCAAGGCTGCAAGCCCGCAACCCCGTTTGCTCTACCTTCGCCTCCGCCTCCGCCTTCGCCTCGCATCGCACTCCCAAGTCCCTTGCTCTCCCCTTCCCTCACGGTCTCACCTCCCGGGCATCCTCACCTCCCCGGCGTCGAAGCCATCTCAATTCTCAGCCAAAATGGGGGTTTCCTCTTGCATCCTGCTTTTTCTCCTCGTTTGCGCTATCTCGTCGGTTCTCGCCCACAACAGCGTGGCGGCTGACGACACCATCTTCGAGGTTCGCCGCAAGCTACCGCTCCATTGTGGCGGGCAGGGGCAAAGGTATGTACTTACGACCAAAAGAAAATTTAGAAGCAATTATCAAATATTGATCTCATATGCACCCCCCTTGTCCCGACACCATGCACCCACCAAGCCTCTAGCTTGTGCCTGGCTGCCTGCAGCGGCCAGCAGGTTCGATAGACTCGGGAGACAGAGCAATGAGCTATAGTCATAGAGCAGCCCAGCGCAAAGTTTCGCTAGGCGCTGGGCGGAATCTAGGTGCTAACCCTCAGCCTAGAGCCTACTCGGGATTAATCGTGCCTAGGCGTTCCTAGGCGTTTTCCTAGGCGTTTTGGCAATATAGCCATAACTTATATATGTATTATGTATATAACTATATATAGCAATAATGCTGAATACATAGGTTACAGTAAATATAAGAAGAGGGCCAGTAGACATACCTGATTCCTCGGTGGCTTATTCTTGCATGTTCCAAGCTCCTATAACACATTTTGACAGCTGGTCAGTATTAAGTAGTCAATAGAAAACACTAAGTTGTCACTTATCTGATTGATTTCAGCAAGAGGGCTGTTGCTTCAAAGAAACACTAAGTAAGTACATAATAGTATACTAGCAATTTACCATGTGTATAGGCCCATCTTGCAATATACTTATGCACCTCATGTGTTCTTTCTTTCCAAAGTTCCTTGTTCAGCTGTTGTTGCTTCAAAGAATCAGTCTTGGTAGCTTTAGGATCAATAGCACGTGTCCATTTGTCCATGGGTCCTAATTTGTGAGGCTCTGAACTTCCAACACAAGTGACTTCATCTGACTCTTCAACCCTAGATACATTAACTTCCTCTCTAAGTTCTAGCTCACGAATAGTCTTCTCCTCCCTCTTCCTTTTGGCCTCATCTAGTGCTTTCTTGCACTTCTGTTTAGCCTCCATGGCCTACACTGTTGTAGCCATGCATTTCTTCACATTCTTTCCCTCATGAGCCAAATACTGCTTCAACCTATAAATCCCTCCCCTCATCTCCTTCTTACAAAGCTTGCACTTCACCTTGTCCTTGTTGTTAGGATCAACAAGAACACCATACTCCCATCCAACATCATCCGAATTCCTTTTCAGGAGATTCGCTGACTCACTATTTTCTCCCTCACCTAGTGCACCCTCTGTTGTAGACATCCTACATTTAGACAATGGGCATTCACAGCAGGCAAAATCATATCAACTCATCCATTCACATTCACAGAATCACAGGCATTCAAATCAGAGGAGAGAAGCAGGTGATGCATTCAAAACAGAGGACATGGAGGAGAGGAGCAGGGGAGGGGCCTAACCTTGGTGCTGCGCTGCGCCGCTTAGGGATGAGGCTGTCGGCTGGGTGAGGAGACCGGCGGCAGCTTCCAGGCGGGGTAGCAGGTTCCAGGCGGGGTAGAGGAGACTGGCCGGGACAAGCCTCTAGGCGAGGTTACGGGGAGCAGGGCGACCGGCGGGTGGAGCTTCCCTTCAGCGGGCCGTCGCAGGAGGAGAGGACGAGCGGGAGTGGCCGAGCGGCTATCTGCGACCTGGAAGGCAAGAATCGAGCGGGAGCGGACCTTTTCCCTCTTCTCCTTCCCGCGCGCATCCTTTCCCGCGCCAGACGCCATAAGCGCGCGCGCTTCTGCGGCGGCCAAAAATTTCGCCCGTGAGCGGGTCGTCCGCCTACGCGTCGCCTTGCGCGCCTGCGCGCCGCGGAATCGCTGCCGAGGCGCCGATTTGCGCCGCCTAGTCGCTGCTCCCACCTAGGACTGCGACTACACCCTAGTCTACGCGGAGGGCCGTTGATTAGCGCTTAATCGCGCCTAGGCGCGCCTAGGCGAGCGCCTAGCGGAACTTTGGCCCATCGTTTATCCATATTTCTTTCGAGCAAAAGTGTCCTTTTTAAACGCTCACCAAGATTAAGTTTTATTGCATAATTGTTGGTTGTTGTTTGCTCAGATCTGAGGTCAGGGTTTTATGCACAAATGTAAAACTGGAACTAGTCGTGAGCATCTTTTGTTTATAATTTTGTGAGCATCTCCAAGTGTCCTTTTTAAACTGACTCTCTAAATCATAATTGGAATAACAATCATTCTATGTACCTTTTCATCTTCCAATATTATTTTTATATCCTGTGCGCACTCTAGAGAACTAATTCCTCTCTAGTTTTGGCTAGCTAGAAATCCGAAATAGAGGATTGTAATATTTACGGATCTAATTAAAGAAGTTATTGGAGGTTTTTTTTTACCAAAATCTCTATTCCTATCGCAAAGAAGGATATAGAGAGACTCTTAGAGTTACTTTTACTTCAGTACACTATACACGGTAGCAAAATTAATATTATAAGTAGGTTTGTCCATTCAATAAATGCTTTTAGTTCCACTACATTCCCATGGTACATTGCTACCACATATATTCAACAAATGTCATTAATTGGTCACATTATTATCTACAAAATATGTAACTCATTCACGTTCCAAATTATAGATATGTTCACTTTAGGTTTGTCTCAAGTCAATTTGTCTAACTTTGACAAAGTCTTTAGAAATGTATATTAACGTATAGAATTTCAAATAAATGTGCTATCAGAACATATTTGATGGGGAATTTAATGAAATTAATTTGATGGGAATTTAATGAAATTAATTTGATATTGTAGATTTTAGAGTATTTTTCTATAGACTTAGTCAAAATTAAAGAAATTTGGCTTAAAATACTATAATTCAGTACTTATGATGTACACTAGAGGTAAAGTGCCGCATTATTTGTCACTGGTGGCGGGAGAGGCTGCCATTACGCAGAACACCTGGAGCACGATGCCCGTCGCCACGGTCACTTCTTCTCTACCCGCACAAGCTTCACATTTGTCGGTAGGCTGGCCACTGAAACCGGGTAGGTAACCCACAAGCCAATTATTTGTTTCGGTGATCTAGATCATTTCTCTCCTGAACTGGGTGGTAATCTGATCTCTGGGTTTGTTCAGTCTGTACTGAGCTAAGTTCACAATTGAGACGCCGCCGAAGACCTACGACATGGAGGTGGACCTTATAAACTGGGGCACCTGCGACTCCTGCCCCCACGAGAGCGTCATCGGGGTATAGCTCTATTCATCTCCCCTAAATATTTCAGCAAAAATCAATGAAATCCTGATGTTACAAAAAAAAAAAAACTGTATGGATTTGCTGTACGCTAGTACTGAATAAACGCCGCTGGATGGCTGAATGATCATCTTTCGCGCAGAGCCCAATAAACCCAAACCTGCAAACCACCCAACCATCTGTTGCTAGAATTGTCCTTTTACTAGGGAGTAAGGAAGCATGTTTCATTCTTCTTTGCTCTATGCTGGTGGAGCTTCTCCACTTAGGCCTTGTTTGGATGTAGTCGGATTCGCATCAATTCACATGGGTTAGGGTGAATTGGAGTGGAACTTGAACTAAATTCCACTCCAATCCACCCCAATACATGTGGATTGAGGTGAATCCGACAACATCCAAACAAGGCTTTAAGAAGTAGAATCAGACAAAGAGATCGAAAATGTCAATGCTTTAGTAATCCTTGTTGTTGGATGTTTTGGAAAGAAACAAATAACCAGAGTTTCAGAGGCATATGAACAAACATTGCAACTAGCGCTTTAGACTAGGAGCTGCAAGAAGCCATTTGTCAACACAAATACACAATCTCAGGCATGGTATTCTAGTTTTTTCGTTATGATGTTGCCATTGATACCTTAGTTTTCATACATGACTAACTATATGGCGTCTCTTCAAACCTCAAAGCAATGTTTGTTTCTTCTTTAAATCATTAATTCTGAACTCAACCACATTGCATCACAGCCTGCCTCAAGCAAGGTTTTTGCCCACTGTTTGAACACAGTGGACGGCGTTGGCATTATTGCTATTGGAAATGTAGGGCAGCTTCAGAAGACAACTAATTTGGTGAGGTATGTGATAATCTTATATAGAAGCACAGTTTGGTTATAGGGTTTTTGCCCACTGTTTGAACAATGAACACTGTGGATGGCTTTTGGGATGGATTTTTATCTCTACTTCAGTTAGAGCAATATACAGTTTAATTTGGACTAATCACGGTCCTAATATTCCAGTTTTGTTTATAGATGCTGTTTACTGTTCTCAGAAGTTGTTCTTTTTTTAATTTATACATGTAGGCCAAACTACATCGTGAATTTGAGTTCAGTAGCTGTGGCTGGCTCTACACTACAACTGCCTACAGATACTTTCTATGGTGATGGCAAAGGCGCCATGATTGACATCGGAACCACATCTATATATCTCCCGGAGGTTATGTACTAGGCTGTGATGATTGCGGTATAAAAGTCTATCCATGCATCAATTTATGAGCTAAAGGAAATATGTTGACCAGTTTTTGTTGACCATTGTAGATTTTTTATAAGCATCCAGACACCTTATTCTGGAGTGTCCGGGATATTCTTTATATGAAACATCATGGAAGGTATGTAGTGCTTGCAGTGGGTTGTTAGGTACACTAGCATGTTGTAGTTCTAAAATTTCTGATTGTTTCCAATCCTTCTGTAGAGTGGATGATGTCTTCCCTAAAATCACCTTTCATTTTGACGGAGGCCTTGCATTGGATATCTATCCACACGATTACCTTCTGAACAACGGGGTGACATCTCGATCGCCTAGCTTTTGGTAATACTGTGCCTTGATGCAATTTATTGTCAATTTTCACAGTTAAGATTGCATTTTTCCCTGGCAGAGTGATTGGTACTATGTTGTTCTGAGAAATGGAAGGTCACAGCCCGAACATATGAAGAACTTGGTGATTCTTGGAGGTAGGCAGTGTTTGTCATTACTACTACCCTTTTGTTTGTTCAATATTTAATTTTACTCGACCTTTGTTCAGACATAGTTTTCTCAAACAAGCTTGTTGTGTATGACCTGGAAAATCAGGTTATTGGATGGACAGACCATGACTGTGAGATACTCGCTTAACCCATTTACAATTTCCAATTCCATTATAAATTCATGTTCAATTGAGTACCTGTTACAGTGAACTTTCCAAAGTATTGATTTCCACAACCTGACACAATTGAGTATCACTTTTTACAGGTTCCTCCGGCAGTCCGGCGTTGACACCGAAGATGAGTGAGCTCTGAGCCAGTAGTGGTGTCTACATGTCATGAGTTTGTTTCAGTATTGCTAGATGCTATAGGTGATGTACATAAAACTACTTTGTTAGATTTCCAGAATGAAGATGAACTGATGGTGACGTAGTTATGAGTTGGAAAGCGTTAGTCGATTAGTCTATGTATAGCGTCTGCACTGCATCTGTTCGCGACTGTTCACTGCTGACAAGTAATATACTGTAGATGCCTGAAGAAGACGTTGAGACCATGCATAATTAAGCTGCGATAGGAGAGACCATTATCTGTTCGGATTCTTTTTCTTTTTTGCGAAGGGAAGACGGACTTATATTAAATCTTGGTACAGTACATCTCTAAATTACACATGAAAAAATCTGAAATAAAAAATACATAATAATCTATCTAGATTCTTCCATCGTCTTCTTCCCTAATGACTTCCCTCGAACGCCGAAGCCAAAGTGGAGTCCTTCTGCCGAATCCGACGACCAACCCCACAACATTGAACATGACGCAAGATCCAACGCTTCGGAACCAGTACAAAATGCATCTAAATCACTGAAAGAATATCGGCAGTTCCATCATTGGGTATGACATAGGATGCAGATTCACCACCTCGGTACCTTGAATTCCTCTCCGCGACCATCGACGATGAGATCGATGACCTGGAGTCGCTTTCCTCGTAGGGGGCTCCTAGAAGCACCACTCCCCTTGCAGATAAAGGCCACAAATTGGCCGCCTGCCAATGAAATCAACGCCAGCAACAACGATCTTGTCATGGCAATCACTGAAGTCATCGCAGAAAATACGATCCCGTCCGGAAATCATCAGATTTCGCCGAAAAAATTATTAGAACCAAACCCTAAACAACTAGATATGAAACTGCAGGAGGATAGGTCATCTCTCCTTCTTATTCCCTGGCAGATGCACCGGAGAGGAAGAAGGAGAGAGGCTCTAGGGCGGCGGTGGCGGTGGGCGGTGGCAGCAACGAGCTTCTCGGGGCGTCGGTGTGTAGGCCTTGGAGGCCACTCCGCTAAGCGGTTAGTGGTTAGTTTAGCCATGTTCGGATTCTTCTTTTGAAGGCAAAGCCATCCGAGCCGCGGTGCAATACCATTTAACATGAATTCTTCGATCATGATGTGGGAGACATGTCAGCAACTGAATCAACCAATGGTTTCCTTTGGACAAAAGTTTAGCCCTGTCACATCAATTAGAAGTATTAAACATAGGCTAATTACAAAACTAATTACACAGATTGAGGCTAATTTACGAGACGAATCTATTAAGTCTAATTTGCACATGATTTGACAATGTGGTGCTACGGTAAACATTTGCTAATTATGAATTAATTAGGCTTAATAGATTCGTTTCGCTAATTAGTCTACTCCTGTGCAATTAGTTTTATAATTAGCTCATGTTTAGTCTTCCTAGTGCATCCAAACGTCCGATATAATACGGCTAAACTTTAGCCCCTGAATCCGGACACATCCTGACAGTTTATGAACGAAAAGAGGAATGGTCAAGTACATGGAGGAGCAGGGAACGCTCGCATTAGTGATTCCTGTTCTCCTTCATCTGGATATAGATAGATTAGGAGTTACCAAACACTCCTTGCATGAAAACAAGTAATTGTGCGGTACGGATCCATTTGATGATTTGAACCCTTATTCATCAAAAACAAGTAATTGTACGGTATTGATCTGTTTGAACCCTGACTTGTCGAAGAGCCGTCGGAAGCGAGACCACATTTGATCGAGTGGTGGGAGACAGTAGACAGACGAATAGCAAGAGTTGGGAGCACAGCACGACACATATACCAAAAAAATGGAAGCTGTTCGCCTGTTCCACACTGGCGCTGGGGCAAAAGTTTCCATTTGATTCCGTGATCCTCCAATCCTGTGCGTCACACTCACACATCAATGTGAATATGTGATGACCATCCTATGAAAGAACACAATGCGTTGAAGGGTTTGTTTGATTTATCAACTCAAAACACTTTAGATAATGTTTGGCTTGCTATGAACTAGCCGATTATCCAATGCAATCGCTGGGGACTGAAGCCATCTCAACCGATCCCGATGTAACTGAAATAACGGTTGCTCAGCTTTATTCAGTTTGTGAACTGCAAGAGGAATGGCCAAATACATGCGAAGGGAACAGAGGGTCACTTGACAAGGGAACGCCCACATTTCAGTGATTCCTTTCATCTTCATCCGAGATATTACACAGAAGATTGTGATATAGGCATTTGATCGCTGAGGATTCATACTGAACTGTATATATGACCCATGATCAGATTTCAAATCAACGATGACAGTTACGAAATAAAAATGTGGCTTGGAGATGGGGGGATTCTTATTGCTTGTTAATTCGGACCAATTTGGCCATCACTCGAGGCTTCCTGATTTGCAAACCTCAGGGTCAGCGGCGGGCAGGGCACAACATTGGGTTATACTCTATCTGGATGCATGCGCGTCACAGCAAACGGAACACAATCATTGATCAGACGCAGGGATTGCAAGAAAAATAAGAGGACGCACTAAAACAGAGGTATTCATGGAAGAACAAGAATTGCATAGATGTGCGCAAACAGCTAACATTCAAGTCATACAAACTCAGACGCAAGCCACAGAGGCTGCAGTCGCCACACAAATTGCAGATGCAACTCATCTCATCTCAGGAAATAGAAACGGAACGAATGGCTGTCCGGCGCTCACGACGCGGGCTCGGCGGCCTCGGCCTCGGGCGCGGCAGGGGCCTGGGCCTCCTCGGACGGCGGGTCGGCCTTGGCGTCCGCGGAGCGGGACTTGACGAAGTCGAGCAGGCGGCGGCTCACCTCCTTGGAGTAGAACTGCAGCGCCTCGATCCCCTCCTCCACGGAGGCGGCGGCGCCTCCCGTGGCGGCGGCGGCGGCGTCGAAGGCCTCGGCCTCGATGGCGCGCGCCGCGGGGTCGGCGTCGGCGGTCGGCACGGCGCCGTAGCGCTTGCAGAGGATGGTGTCCCCCGCGAGCGTGTCCACGAGGCGCCGCACCACCGCGTCCCGGGTGCGCTGCGTCGGCGGCCAGATGCTGAACGAGAAGGCCGGGGAGTGGTCGCCCCCGGCCGGGGATGGGGCGACGGCGGCCGGAGCGGGAGGGGGGGCGGGGGCGAGCTCGTCGGTGGCCATTTTTGGAAGCTTCCGGAAGAGTTGGATGGAAACCCTAGGGTCGGAGCCGGACGGAGAGTAGGACGGGGGGCGGGCGAGGTGGGGGCGCTCGATCCGTTCGGTGGCTGCGGGCATTTTAAAGCGGTGGCGTCGCTTCGGTGGACGGTGGTACATCGTTGTAATTGAGGATTTGTTCGGGTGTTGGTTGCGGTGGCTTCAAGACAACGAAACGGCAAACAAAACTCATCATCGGTTGGTGGCTAATGTTATCCTGTACTACCATTATCAGATCGGGTGGCGGGTCGTATATGCATGCTCATTTGCTTTGACCAATTGTTTCCCCCTTTTTTGCGATTTGAATTTGAATTCCAACGTCCAGATGAGGTCATCATCCGCCAGGAAATCGGAATGGTAGGAAATGTGGATAAATGTGGATGCTACTACATTCAGTGTGGGATAGCAATGCATACTCTTGACTGTTCGATTCTCCTCGCTGTCATTTGTAACGTTCCATCCGGGAATGGTAGGAAATCTGGATAAATGCGAGTAAATGCTGCATTGAGAGGGGTGGGCAGTAAAAGCACGGTGCTTTTGGATTCACGTCCGTTCCATCATTTCCTTTCCGTTCTCGTTAGAGCAAGTATAGTAACCTGTATTAGCCGGCTGAGACAAGTACACGTGAACAGAAAAAAGGGCCACGTTGGAGAGAGATTACCGAGCGGGCGCTTACCATCTCGCCGGTTGGAGCACAAGGTACGAGAAAATATTTACTCTCCCAGCCCGCGCATGAGTGAGAAGCCGCCTGCACTTGGTATGCATATGCAAATAATAAATGTCCAAGTCTCCTCTACAGCCAGCTCTTACAGCTAGCCTATTATACGGTAGGCTGTTAGTAAAGGCTGCCAGTGACATGGAATTGGTATAACGCCTGCTGCTGGCTGGCTTATTATTCTCGCTCTTAGGTGGTGTTTTGTTGTCCCTCCTAAATTTTAGTTGTTGTCATATCGAATGTTTAGACACATGTATGGAGTATTAAATATAGACTATTTATGAAATTAATTACATAATTTGCGACTAATTTACGAGACGAATCTTTTAAGCCTAATTAGTCTATGATTTGACAATGTGGTGCTACAGTAAACATATACTAATGACGGATTAATTAGGCTTAAAAAATTCGTCTCGTAGAGTACCGACAGATTATATAATTTGTTATTTTATTAGTATCCGAATACTCCATACAATATCCTCCCGACACACCTCCCAGATTTTAATAACTGTGTCCAAAACACCACCTTAGTCGTTGGCGTAGCAGGAGCGGCAACACGCGTACTGCCTGGCTGTCAGCCGGCGGCGTGCTTGCTACGAGCCGAACCTTCCTGAACTGCACTTGGCCTCCTCTCGATGCCCCGCGCCGTCGGGGTCCGATCACGGACTTCTCAGTACAGGCCGTGCAGCTCGCGAGCTGCATCAAAAATTGCCCGAACCGAACGGTCCATCGCTCATTCGCTCGCCTGCCGCGTCGGCCTTGCTGACCCACCCATGCGGCCACTGACCCAGCGCCACGCCACGCGCAGGCTGCAGCTGACGGAAGCGTTGAAGTTTTGTCCTGTGCTGGTGTCTGTTGGTGGCGCTTTGGCTCCGCGTTGAAGTACCTCTGCTGCTCCGGCATGAGACCGCATGAGCATGAGCATGAGCATGAGCAGAGCATGAGAGCATTACTATGCGCGTCCATACGTGTGTTCTCCGTTCTTGTTTGGGTTTGATGCTAACAAGTTTCTGTCACATTTTGTCATGTTCGTTTGAACTTATCAGCCCGACTTATCAACCATAGTATAATATTTTTTTCTTCTAACAAAATAGCATCAGCCAATTTATCATCCGCAGAAACCACAGCTTTGTCTGGCAACAAGCTGAAGGTTCTGCTGGTTGCTTAGAGCGCCCCAACGGTGGTCGACATAGCCAGCTTACGTTAGATTTTAGGATGATCTGGAGCTGAGAGAACGTGAAAACTGATGCCGTGTTCAGTTCCAATTTTTTTTTCTAAAAAATGCTAGAGTATCCATCGCATCGTGTAGACGAAAAAAACTAATTGTACAGTTTGGTTGGAAATTACGAGACGAATGTTTTGAGCCTAATTAGTCTATGATTGAACACTAATTGTCAAATAAAAACGAAAGTGCTACAGGAACCCAAATTCCAAACTTCCCTCGACTAAACCCGCGCTGAAATTGCTAGCGACTGTTTCATCGGTAGGCTCGCACTTGTCCAGAGGCACTCACATGGGCCGTGTCTCCTTTTCTCTCTGTGCACTCGCCTCGCGTGCAAATTCGGCGCAGTATACAGCCTCTTTGTTTGGCCGTGGCTCGTCGTAAATGATCGTAAGTTTTCAACCGAAACAGTATTTTTTTCTCACATAAACCAGCCAATAATACTTCTTCACAAACCAGCCAACCGAACAGGTTGATAGTTGGCCAGTGGTGGGTCCCATGACTGCTTTCCAAGAGTCAGATTGCTGGACGGATGAAAGCGTATTGTTAGATAGAAGTGATGTGTACTTGTACTAGCTAGCAAGCTTATTAGGTTACTGGGGACGCCCTTAGCAGTGAGCACATTGCATGGGCTGCCGTGCTGGCCACCTGACCTATTACAACAACGACACTTAAAATATAAGACTCATTCAACATTAGGCAGCGCTATAATTAAATGGTTTAATATATATTCAATATCCTTTCCAACAACAGGACTTAAAAAAGAATCTTTTCTGTAAATGGGTTTCTAGAAGAGAGGATACTCATATTTGAGTTGTGCCTCTCACACAACAAAAATAGGTCTCCCGTATAAGTACTCAGCTGGATACTAATTTTAAGTCTACTACTACCTATTTTAAGTTTGAGTGCTCATATAGGTCACCTGTTGAGACAGTCTTACTGTAAAACATTTTGTTCGTGGGATCAGAGACAGACAAAACATATAGGAGCAGTGCAAACTTAAAATAGATGTAAACATACAAGCTCCTTTAAAAAACATATAGTTCTATTGTTTGAAAAAAATAAATAAAGAACATCCATAGTGCATCCTTATACTTCCGGATTCTCCATGAGAAGAATATCGACCGTATGGATATCAGGATACTGTATGAAGTGGTGAGTAAGATTAGAGCACATGAGATGTCTCTTTATGGAGAGATTGGAGACTCCTCCATTAACACGAATCTTGACTTCAAACTTGATGCTAATAAGAATACCAGGAAGGAGAAGATCGACCCAGGATGACTCAAGTGAAGAAAGAGTAGGCGTATGCTCCCCAAAACTTGGCAAGAAGGATCATAACTACAACCCAAAAAGAACAAAATCAAGCCAAGAAAGTTTATGTGAGAGGACAATGCTACAATTATGGTGAAGATCCTCAGTGATAGGGGCTGAAGGGGCTCACATACCGACAGTAGGGGGCTCAACCCATGGGTGCCGACGAAGATCATGCTTGTGTGGAGGTTGATGAGGTGGTTAGTGCCCGCCACCATGGAGCTAGATCTTTCCATGGAGCTTGAACACGATGCTAGCATATGCCACATGGCCTTGGGAGAGAACTAACTAAAGTTGTGGCCTCGATCAACCACTATATTGATAACTCAAATGTCTTACAAAAGAAAAAAGAATACGATAGCTATGCTAGACTCCTAAATACTACTTTCGGGGCCCAAGCTTAGTTCGACTCAACTATAACTCCCAACTAAACTAGCATGAACTAAAGAGAGCTAATGAAAGTGATTCCTTCCTCTTTTTCCTGTATTATGTGTGGAGAGTAGCGCTAAGGCCCTCCATAGTGCTGGCTTAGAGTGGTGCTCTAAATGGACAGAGAGGGTTTAAGCACCACTTTGTACACTGCAACTACCAGTGTCCAAGCTAGAGAATTTGAGAGCGATGAATATACAAGCTCTGATGCCCATTGACTAAACATATGAAAAAATATGCATGGTTGTCGGGGTTATAACCATGGGGTATCTCAAGGCATCAACTAGATGGCGGGCCGCATAGCTCACAACGCAACAGCAGACAAGGGCCCAAATGACCGAGGCCCAACAAAAGCCGAACAGGCCAGGCCAGGCACTAAGGTCGGGGCTATCCACGACCCCTTCCACCTGCCTTGGTCTCACCACACTCGCAAGGCATACGATCTCTCTCCATCGTGACCTCTGGTAGAGATAGAAAGAGGTTGCACCTTGCCAAGTGAGCCTACCCTGACAGGGGCAAGCACGCCGCACTGACCCCGTAAGGACCAATGTGGCAGTAGTTACCTCAGCCCGGTCATACGCCAACCCTGCGCCACGCTACACGGACAAAGACAACACCGCCTCGAGGCGGTAACGGCGGGTATACGACCCTATCCACCGTAGAATGAAAGCCACGACAGGGGTCTCAGCGCAGAGGCCGACCATGCCGGATGAAAGCCCCGACACCAACGATCAGGGTCGTGGCCCTCAGCCCCATGAAGCGACCAAGCAAGCAGCGACCCAGAGGTGGCTACCTACTACGAGTATGACGGCCCAAGGGACCTAGAGATGACGGCGAGGACCATGACGGATGTCGCGTTGCACAGGACAGCTGACGAACAATCACCATGGCTATAGTGCTGCCATGACTAGCACAGTAGCACCATGTCAGACCCTGCCGCGATGTGGCCACAAGACCATGATGATAGCCATGCCTGGGCAAGCATTAGAAGATGGCGTAGCTTGCAGGCCAAGTTAGTTAGGACCTTCCTCTCGGTTAGGTCGACTTACCTATAACGTTCGGAGGTCGAGCCAACTTCCGCACGGAGATGCTCACCTTTGAGATAGCGGACTTTCCTGGTGCCTACCACGCCATCCTGGGCCAGCCATGCAACGCCAAGTTCATGGCCGCCCCCAACTACACCTACCTGAAGCTTAAGATGCCCGGCCCTCGCGGGGTCATCACTGTAGCACCCTCGGTGTTACACCCTAAACAAACCACTAAACCATGTCATGAGCATCATGTTTA